TAACTCCTGTCTGCGTGGAGCAGGCAACGAGTCCCTGCGGCCGATGGGGAGGAGGGATGAGAGACGGAGGGAGGGAGGAGAAGAGGGGCGGAGGCCACCTGCCCTGCATCACCTGCTCTCCCGGCCCATCCTGGGTGCTGCCTGTTCCTCACTGCCGTCATCTCCCCTCGGACTGTTTAAATTAAAGCTCATAACCATTGTGTGGGCATATAATGAAAGCAACTGATGCTGCACTGATTAGCCCATTACTCTCCACTGTTAGAAAACAGTGATCTCACAAGGGGCCTCACTCACTGACGTATAGCAGTCGGCCTCCCATTTGACACCTCAAATTAGCAGCCAAAGCAATAACAGCTGGGGTTTTTGTCTCAATATTTGTACCCAACTCCAAAGCGATTTGGCACCGGGGTGAGCGTTATTTTTAAACACAGCACTCTCACCGCCAAGTAACATTTTAAATGGTCTCCAGGTGTCATGTAAAACCTACAGAAAGGAATAAAAACAGTCCACTGCCAATCTGGGCCCTTGATGCCATGGATGCTTAGCAGAAGGGCCTGTCTTTGGTTCTCCCTTCATTGTACACTCATGTTGTGACAGACAGAAACTCCGCCCAGCAGAGCCTCGCTGTGAGAGAACAACAGGGAAAAGATGCCTCCAAACTAATTGTAAACCACGTGGGTTTAAAAAGGGAGAGATGCCTTTTCAGATCCCGCCATTGCTCAGAGAGATGCTGGTCGTGTAAGTCTACACGATGCTCCGTGCTTGTGGCCCCTGGATGCTGAGGAGCTCTTACTCATGTGTTGAGAACATCACAGGTGACGCCTGGTGGTGGCTCAGAAAGACTCAACTGCCTGCGGAGGGCCAGCGTACCTGCAAAGTGTACCTTACCCGACAACACCAATGAGATGGCCTAGTCTTCTAATTCTATTTCATCTTCTATAAACTGAGGGCCTGGACAGGCAGTCTCATCTGCTACCATTATTTAGAAACCAGGCAGCTACTGGGGTGCCTGGAAACAGACAATTTCCACTTCCGCTGCACTGGGTGTCTAGCCCCGTGAGAGGAAGAAGGGGAAAGTGTTTACTCAGCTGCGTGCACACTAAGAGGGACGGAGCGCACACCTGTTCTGCCCCTGGGTTGGCACATAGGACGACTCCATGAATATATACTGAATGGATGAGTGAGTTTCAAAATGTGAAGGGTCCTGCTTTTGGCATCTTTTGATAAAACACATTTCCACTCTGAACAGCCTCCTGGGCTGACCCGGGAGTCACGAACTCAGGTGCCTATGGGAGTGAGGTGTGACAGTTACGAACTCAATTGCCTACGGGAGCCAGGCTTGACCTCTGAGTCTCTAAGTGGGCTGCGTGGGGCTGCAGCCGCCACCACTCCACGACACGATTGTCACTTCTCGAGTCCAAGGATCGCTGCTACGCTGGGACGTGGGTGCGAGGCTGCCAGCTGTTCCCTTTTGTTTAAAGAGAAAGCCAAGCATCTAGAGGCTTTATGTGAAGTCTCCTGCTTTTTTTGTACTGGTGAACCGTAAGGAACAGAAGTCCACATGGAACATACCTGGGGCTGGATCTGGCTTGCAGATGCCCGTTTTCGGTCTCTAAACCAGACAGATTAATTTAATTATTTGAATCAGATATATACATTTGACACACACATATATATTGCATGATATATATGTATCAAATATGAGTTTAGCATATATGTATATAATGGAAGAACATTAATGGCATTACGGTGACGTGGTTAAAGCCTCTGTCCCACATGCATCTCCTGACGGGCAGTCACTAGCTGAGAGACCTTCTATTCCAATGAACTCCCTTTAACTGGTTGAAACTTATTCAATGCTTTCTTCCCCCACACATCATTACTTGAGGACAAGTTCCTGAAGAAGTTTCTGTTTCTAGGGCAAAACTATGTTCCTCCCGGCAGGTATAACCCCGCCTGTTTTCTGCCCGCTACTCATCGGTTCCGTGGCTAAACATACCGGTCCGTTCTCGTGTAGAGTTCGGAACTGAGCCACTTCAGACCTGTTAGCAGAAACACTGCACAAGGTGCATGAGGCTCAGTTCCTGGGCTGGATGCCGGGTGGTCCTGCTTTTACCCTCTGATAGTTGTAAGGGGGGGGGGGCTCTCTCAGGGAGCTGGCTGCAACTTACACCTGGGCCAGTAGGGCTCAAAGATGGGCAGGGGCACCCAGTGTTTCCTCGCTGGGCTCTGGTCACCACCAGGTGCCAGGACCAGTGACGGGGAAACCCACCTCTTTCCAGATTGCTCTCCACCAGACAAAAATCTATTGGGGTCCTGGGGCAATTAGCCCCTAATCAGTGGCCGCCTGATGGGAAGGCCCTCATGCTGAATGTAAATGTTCCTTCTGGCAAAATGCTGGAGGCGGAGGGATGGTGGGAAGGCAGGACATACAGGCCAGCTTCATTCACTTTTGTTTCCTTTCTGCTAACACAGGAGGGAGGTAGGTGGCCATCTAGAGCACTGGATAAAGAGTCCGCAGACCCGTCTCCTGGCCTAATTCTTCTGTGAAACTTCCCTGTGGTTGTGGGCAAGTCACTTAACCTTTCTGAGTGACTTTCTTTCACTTAAAATGAGGCGGTGGGACCGGATGACCCTGGGTCTTTCCAGCCTACAGTTCCCCTCTCCCATTCCAACTGGGCTGGTGCTGGCTCTGAGATGCCACATCTGGAGCAGCAGCAGCCTTCCCGACAGCAGTGGAAGGGACGTGGACACCCAGGTCTGTATAAAGTC